TCGACCGTCTTCGCGACCGCCGAGGCCCGTTTGGGCCGGTGGCGACAGGTCAACCTTGACTTCCCTAGGTTTACTAACTCTCCTAGGTGTAGGTTGATAGTGCTCTCCCATGTTTAGACTCTCATTGGGAGAAGAATATTGAGAGTGTGAACTCCTACTTCTTCTTTTATGTTTTCTCATGTCTTCTTTCAATTTTTCTTCTTCTAGTTTAAGAATTCTCAATTCCTCCTCTAGATAAGAAAGTTAGCCTTCTCTTTCAATTTTCTCTTTCTCTTTTTGCATGGCCTCTTACTTCCTCCATATCTTAAGTGATTTTAGCTCTTTAGTAATGTAAGAAAGACTTTTTGGAGAGCTATCACTTTCACTAGGATTAGAGTCTTGAGACATTTTTAAACAAGAAGTATTTTCACACAAAATTAGTTTTTAAAGAAAATAATATTTTTGGAAGTGCTAGACTTGGCACTTGGAGGTCTAAGAGTAAAAATTGAACTTTGGAGGGAGGTGAGCTACTATCGCGCCACTTAATAACCAAGCCTCTTCAAGTAGAAATCTCTAAATCCCTTTGTACTTTGCCTTGCACAAAATGTTTTCACAAAGTTCTTTTCAAAAAGGAAAATAACAATCAAGTGCCTAATGTGTACAATTATCAAGACTTGAAATCATAAATTGCTTGAAAACTTAAATGACTGAAAACATAAATTGCTTAAAACATACACTACAAAAAAATATGTATTTAACTGAGGCTTTTTAATGGGGGTTATGCTAACCCTCGGGAACATAAGTAACTAACTGGGGTTTCAATAACCCTCTTTAAGTATTATTAAGTTACAGGGGTTAAAATTTAAAATCGTTGGTATGTTTTAATAATATATTGTTTTTTTAATTTTTTTTCTTTGTAATGATAATTATTTTTTTTCATTTCCCTCTCACTTATCTTTTGGTTTCCCTCTCTCACGAAACCCGTGAGGCTCTGTAACTAAGAACACTCCTTCATCAGAAAAATGCAAATGACCTAGCCTCCCTCTCCGACGCTCTCCGACTGCCTGCGACTTCTATAACACCGACCAAGGTGTGTTTTCCACTCATCTTTTATCATTTGAAGACCGTATTTATCTCTTGCATTACTCACACTCTTGAGATTTAACATTGGAAAAATTCCCTCATCGTTGTTCATTTGGGGTTTTTTCGGATTATTTGCACTTTCAATTTCATAATCTTTTGTTGCTCCATTTTGACCTAGCTGGTGAACGATCCTAATTCGCGGCACAACAAACGAGCGTACCTTTGTTTGCTTTGCTGGAGATGCAACATAGAAGGTAATATCTGGTGCCCTTTGTTGCTCCATTTTTACATCATTCTTTTTCAGACATACTCAAAGACCGCCGAGGCCCGTTTGGGCCGGTGGCGACAGGGAAGAGAGAAAACTTCGAGTCCTTGTAATAATCGATTATTTGGGTAATAATCGATTATTTGGGAAATAATCTATTATCTGGGTAAGATAAAAGGAACAAGTCTCTGGAATAATTAATTATTCTAGAAATAATCGATTATCTGGAAGCAAATTTGAAAAATAGTCTATGGAATAATCGATTATTCTAGAAATAATCGATTATTTAGTGCAGAAAGTGTTTTCAAGTACATTTTTTCTGATACAAATAATCGATTATTTGTATGGATAATCGATTATTTTCGCGACCCTTCATTTTCCAAGAGGTTTTTGAACGGTTATCTTCGCGCCAACTCCCAGCCTCCCACCTTACTTCATAAGTGGCACCTCTTTAGTACCCAATCCGGTACCTAGGGCATAAAACTCACCCAACACTCACATTTTCTATAAAACCCACACACATTCTCTCAACTCTCACACACACAAACCCTAACCTCTCAATTCCTATTCTTCTTCTTCTTCTTCTCTTTTTCAACCAAGAACCACCTTTGTCTACAAAATCACCTCATCTTCCAAAAGAATCAAAAATCTCAAAGTCAAGGGGAGCAAAAGGCCTCTGCCCACCAGAGCTGATCAATTGATTGGCAAGTGGTTTGCTGACAAGGAAGCCCAAGATTACTACTTTGAGTGGTATTTGGGTAGGAGAATCATTCCTCCAAAACTCTAAAGTTGGAGTGGTTCAAGAACGAGGGTTTTAGTTTTCCTCCTCTCTTGGAGCATCAAGAACTTGGATAGTTCTTGGAGTTGGAAGGTCCCTATTATCCGAACCTCATTAGGCTATTCTTGTGCTTTGCTTCAAGCAATGGTGGAATCATGCAATCTGTAGTGAAAGGGAAGCTTATAAAGATTGATGGACTAACCCTAAAAGGAGCTACTGGGTTGAGCGGAACCGGGAGAACAAAGCCTCAACCTTTCAACTTTGGTGATTTTGAGGAGTTAACAACCTTTAGGGACTGTCAAAGGAATCTGGAGAACACAAACTATAGTAAGTTTTTGGCTGGAGGTATGAAGAAAAATTCTAGGCTAATTTCATTTATAATTACTTGGATGCTTAAGCCTAGACTTCATAATCATGCTGAAATGTCTAAAGATGATATTCTGCTGATGCATGTTATTAAGAAAAAGGAAAAGATTAATTGGGTCTCTGTTGTGAATGATTGTATTTGGAAAGCTAGGAGAAAGGAGGATGGTCCTATACCTTATGCTTTGTTATTATCAAGAGTATTTGAGAATGCAGGGGTAGATCTTCAAGGGAAGAAAAAGATAATTCTCCATGCTTCAAATAAGATTGAAAAATCCCCATTTCCGACCCGGACAATTTTAGGGGTCTACATGCATCACATGGGGATGTTGAAGCAAGAGGATAAATGGATATTCAAGGGAGTTATTCCACCTACACCTAAAATGATAATTGATGAAGATAGTGTTCCATCTCATGATGAGGATCAGCCACCTCAAGTGGAACTTGAATCGGAACAAGTGCACCAATCGGAGCCCAAGGCATTTTCTCCGTTTGAGCAAATAATGATAAACAAGCTTGATGATGTCATGGAAATGACAAGGAAGCATGAGTCACAATATTCTAGCATTCTTGATCGTTTGATAGCCTTGATCATGAGATTGCAAGGATTAAGGCTCAGTTTGGGATTCAAGATGACTCGGAGTGATGTGTTTGGAAGCTGTTTTGTTTTTAGGAGTTTAATTTCAATTTAGTGGTTTTTAAAATTCCAAGTTTCTGAGTATTTCAATTTGGTTTTAATTTCTGAACAATTGTGTTTTGGTTTAAATTTTCAATTTGGTTGTAATAGTCTTAAGTGTTGAACAATTTAATTCTGGTACAATTTGACTTTGGTTGTGTTCTGATATTGGCTTATCATGATTTGAGCATTGGTATACATTTGTGATGCACTTGATATATATTTGTTAATGTTTGCTGGTGCATATGAAATAGTGCTCATAAGAACATGTGTGACTTATTTCTTGGAATCATTTGTGTATGAAATGTTAGACACATATGTATTGTGTATTCTTATTTTTGGTATGAATGCTGGACAAACATTTTTGTGCATATATACATATGGAATCTTCAATGATATTTCTCTAAACTTGGGCATATTACTTTTATAAGTTCTATTATATGTTTTTGATTTTGTCCAAAGGGGGAGAAAGTTTGGAATTTGTTTTGCAAGTTTTTCTACTAACAAGGCATGAACAAACTAACAAGCTACTCATATTGTCATTTAACTTGAGAAAAACATATTGGTTTGTCATCATCAAAAAAGGAGAGATTGTTGAGATTCATGGATGATGAATCAAACTCAGCTCTGAAGTTCTGAGAGTTTTGATGATAACAAAGGACACAAGCCAATAACATAGGACAAGCTAATTAAGAAAGGAAGACATGAAAGAATATAATATATAATAGGAGTAACTTATATGTTCTTATATGATGTGTTGCCTTGTTGAGTTTATTTTTACATGTGTATGCTTTGTGCATGAGTTAATCTTAATCTAAATTGACTAAGAGTGAGTACGATGATCATTTAAATGACTTGGAAAGTTTTCTAAAATGTGAAATCGAGTTTTTGAAAACTAACTCAAAATAATCGATTATCATAAACAATGATCTATTATTTCAGTA